TTCTTTCGGATAACTGACATTTCGGATAAACGACGCTCTACTGTAAATAAAAAAGATGCGTTCGCAAAATTAAGTCAGTTAAAATTTAACATTGTTTATGCCAGAACTATTTTTTTTTTTTATAAATATTAAAAAAGAAAGTTCAAAATGATTTATTTTGTACGTATTTTATTACGACACGTGTTCCGCAGCCATCTTGTATTTTCTCGCGTACATGGGATTGTGGGATCTCTCTTATGACTGGATCTAGTTTCAAGAACTCTCTTGAGTTGATCGCGATTGAACCTCATTTCAGTCAAGATTAAAACGGTTGAGGGAGGTCGCACCAAGGCGAATGGGGTATAAGGCTCTAGTTTAGTAGTGTTACAGAGTATAATACATATATTTTAATACATTTTTTAAAAGAAACAATACCACTGAGAAATGTTACGTGTGTTTAACAAGGTTCGGAAAACTTTGAAAATGTTAACGATGGGTTCGGCCAAACCTGTGTCAACCCGTTGAATAACTCCACTGATGACAGCATTTGTAAGTATAGAAAATTATCTCTTAGTACTCTTTTACTGACATTGACAAAATCTGAAGAATATAAAAATATGTCTAATATTTTGGCAAGAATTCTTGCTGCAAAACCATATTTGGCTGCTGTTGAAAGACCAATAAGTGTAAGACTATTAAGTCTAAAAGTTGAAGTATAAATATCAATACAGAAAATGTTATTTATATATTTATCACAATATGCCACCTTTGAGCCAATGGGATCCTCAATCAGCCATACAATTATAGCTCAACAAAAAACATTGTCAAATAAAGATGATGATAAAACATGAACAACCATGGTACAAAAACATTTCCAGAAGGAGAAAAAAACAAAGAACAAGAAGCTGTAAAAGAACTACTGAAAAAGAAATTTTAATTTCCATATTCATGTTTCCTAATTTTTATTTATGTGATTTTTTGTGATCATTACCTTCATACTATTTACATTCATATATACAGTATTTAAATGATACAATCAATCTGTGATTAATAAAATGAAAAGTGCTTATAGTATAGAGACAAATTAATAAATAATTATACAAATATAAGATTTGTATTATTGTCATTGTTTTTCGTATGTCTTTTAGAAACAGCTTATTAATGTTAGGATTAATGGCTTTGCCAAAACAAAACTGATATATATTCAATAGGTAAAAACATTGAAATAAAGCTTGGAATCTGGCATTATCATTTGATTAATAATATATAATTTGGGTTTAGTTTACTACTGTACATGATTAATGTAGAAATGAAACCATCCAGAGATCACAAAATGTTTATGTCTTATATTCAAAAAAACATTTAGGCCTATTGATTATTTTTAAAATAATATAAATTTATAGAATTTACATTTCTGATAAATTAAAATTACAGTTTCAAAAGTTTATACAAGAAATTTACTGAAAAAATTTGTACTAAAAACTTACTTCCTCTTCACTATTCTTGCACTCATCAGCTATTGCTACTGTCCATTCTATATTGAACTGAAGTATATTATCTTCTTGATTATTATTTTCATACTGATCATTAATTTCATTTAAAATTTCGAAATTTTCTTCTTTTAATTTAGTAATTTCTCTCTTATTCCTATTAAATGAATGGCTTCCACATGTGACATTAGCATTTTCGTAAGTACAACTCTCAGGTGGACAGAGTCCCTTAATAAATGCATATTTTTTAAATGAATCAATAAACTTTTTTTGGATTTCCACTTGAATATTTGAATCTGGACATGTACCAGAATAATATGGCATTTTTATAGAATTTGTAGTTGAGCGACGTCTCTTTATTTCTAAAAAAAATTACAAATTATTATCACATATCACAATTAATGAGAACAGTTAAATTATTCTATATATATATATAATTAAATACATACATTCTGATGGCAAAATATATTCTAAGATAAAATAATAGTTACTAGAAAGTGATATTCCAGACATACAGGGTGTCCCACATAAAACTGCACCCCACTCACTGATAGAGAAATTATTGTAAACTTCATAATTGGAAAAAAAAATGAGACAAATGAAACAAAATAAAATTAGTCAAAGAAACTCTTTGAAAACTTAATTTTATTTACAAGACATTATGGAAATTCACATAATGCTTCATCATTTAAGGAAATCTAGTTTTATGTGGGATATCCTATAATATACATACAGTATATGTAAACAGATTATAAAACAAGATGTGCCTGTAAGTTTATCATCATCTATATGGCTAAAAGAAATTATTACAAAAATCTTAATGATTTCTTAGAAACTAGTAACTATTCATTTTCCTTCAAGGGTTAATTTATATTATTCTACTGGTATTCTTATTAAATGGGAGGTTTTTATAAAAAAATCTTGGAAAATGAAAAGCATATTCATTTTAAGGATATGTTTTTCCAATTAATTATATAGTCATATGATCACTGTGTAATGCTGTTTTTTACTTTAAACAATTACCAAATAATAAGGGTATTTCTTTGTCAATTCTGTATAAAAATCATTTATTGTATAATGATTAGTATCTGCATAAAGTTTGGCATCTTGTTAGCTTTACAATCTCAAGCAAATCATTAATTGTTAACAACACAGATATTTTTTTCTCTGTTAGAAAACTTCAGTTCTTATCATTATCACAGGCAGTATAACCTTAAATATCTTTTAAAATTATGCAACCTCAAGAAAATTAACCATAAAATGAAAATATTAATATTTTAAAAGCAAATGAAATCATATAATTAGCAAAACATGTATTCACAAAAATTATGCAACTCATTATGCTCAAACAAAGCTGAATACCAAAATATTAAGTTTATTTCCATTCAAAAAATTATGAAAATATGTCATACAAATATATAATATATATATATATAATAATCATATGCTAAATTTCTATCATAGTTTGAAAGCAGTTATATATAGAGATGGCCCAATATCACAAAAGTAATGATACCAATATTGCAAATAGTTTTAAAGTATTGATACTGGCCAGTATCAGTATTGGGTATCAAAACTGAAAATCTTGCAGCTGTTGCTGTTCAGTCTGTACTGTGCTTTCCAGTCGTTTTTATTGCTGAACACTGTACTCATTACAATGAAGGCTGAGTGAACCCCAGAGAAGCAATTAATATTTTGTTACTTACTCCAGGGAATTGAATCGCAGCTATCTGGTTCAGAAATCAGTGCATCAGTCAGTACTTCAGTTTACACTTGTATGAAGCATTGTGTACACAAAAGAAACCCCAGATCTACAGTCCTGCTAATGGGCTCTGTGGGCACTACTATACATGGGATAAGGGTGGAAAAGAAATTGTTACTGAAGAGGTAAAACAGTGTCTTTACATTGAAAGTTCTTTATTGTGTTCAAATTTTACAAATGTCAGTGCAAACAAGTATTTACAAATTGTAGCTCATTTTAACCATCACTGATAGTCTTAATTGATCAACAAACAAATGTACTGTATCATGTTTAACTAAATTACTATTTATAAACTAAATAAAAATATTTATAAATAGTAATCATAACTCTAAGCATATATAAATTCTGGAAATAAAATTTGACATAATACATTTATTGATTTTTCGGTCATTAATATTTTTTATATAAGTTTAACTTAACCAAGAATACTACAAAATTCCATTACAGTTTTTGATTCAGCTGCAAAATCCAGTTTAGGTCAGACCTTATCTGTCTATGAAAAATTTAACAATACTAGATCTGATACCTGAGGAAAAGTATTGATACTAGTATTGGTATCAGACCAAAAGTACTTAGTATTGATGGAAAGTATTGATACGGCATCAGAATTGACAATATTGGAACATCCCTAGTTATATAATTATACATGTAATATAAATCTCAATGTAAGTTCTGTTTCTTTATAAAGTTTAATTTTCTTTTCTTTTTCTAAATTTTATGTAATGTATCTCCGATTTAGTTGCAAATAAATATAGTGATACCTTGTACTTTAAATGACTAACTTCAAATGTAAATTTGACAAAAATTTGCTTCAGAGTTTGAATGATGCTTTAACATTCAAAGCAAGTTTGCATTGCAAAAATGCACTTGAAGTGTAAACACAATCTGTTGTGTGCCCAAGTTGTCTGTTGTTCTTGTTCTTACACTCTGTATATTTTCAGTGTTTTTTTTTTCCTTTATTTTTGGTGTGTTTGGGTATATATTTGAATTCATTCTAACACAATTTGCAGTTTCAAAGCTGAGGATATTCTTTTAAAAGTACAAAAATATTTGATGTTTAATTAAAAATATTTGTTTTGGTCTCCTAAATATAACATTTTTATTATTATTTTAAATATGGTATCAAATACAAATGATATTTTTGTTAACACTGATAATTTATATAAAAATGTGTATACCTTAATTATTCAATTTAATTAATTAATTAATTAAATTGAACAATTAAGGTATATACATTTTTATTAATTAATTAATTTAAGGTATCTTCTAATGTTAATTAAATTAATTAATTAAGGTATCATTTCAGCTACGTTATCCGTATTTTGACTTTCTATCATGCTGAATTTATTTTGAATTACTGTTCTAAACAAAGACATTATCAAAAAATTTCTATTGTTAATTGTGTTTTTATATTTGAAGTAAACATTGTAGCACTGTACTCAGGCAATACACTTTGCAAAATACTCATTAAATATAACAAGGATGCTTAATTATTTAAGAAAAATGAATAAGATATAAGTGAATTAATGATATATTTATATTAAAAAAGTGACAAATAGAGTTACTGTACTTAAAATAAAAAATAAATAATTTAAGAGAGAATAATTTTAAAAAATTGATCATTGCATTTAATTACATTACAGAAAACATATAGCTTAAACATTATATAGCTTTTATATCAATATAAAACCAAGTATTTTAACACAAGATGTGTGCTACTAATTTCTGATTAAAAACAATACTGATAGATAAGAAACATGTGAATCTAAAACCTTATTTATTTTCTCAAAAAAAGAAATCATCCATACACAATTCTGACATAATTGTATGTAGATAATTTCATAAAACAAAATCATAATTTTACTATGAAAATAAATTGTTTTATATATTAAAAAAGAGTTTTTTCAAATTTGGTAATACAATATATTATCAAAATTTTCATTAAAGAAAACCAAAGATTAATTTTACAAAAGTTTTAAAAATTAGTTATGAAAGTATTAAATTAATTACTTTTAACTGAAAATCAAAGATAATCAATACTCAGTATATATTGTATGTGATTCTCACTAAATATAAATTTTAATTTCTATAGATATAATATATTTAAAAATTTGTTCTATATAATTAATCCAGATACAGATTTTTATTATTCTGTTGTTAATTTTCTATAACTGGCATGAGAAATAAGCTGCAAAATCATTCTATTTATTAATAAAGAAATTTGATGCTAGCAAAATACTAATTATTATAAGATTTACTAAAGTAAATATGAAAAAACATGAAATACTTACTTCCGCAATCTGGCCATGGAAATACAAATGGCTGATTTTTATTTTTTTGATTTGGTAATAATCTGCCCCACTTGGCATGAGTACCTAACTGCTGGCAAAAATATTCTTTTTCAGGCGTTCTAATAAAATCATATCCATCTTCACAATATACTTTACAGAATTGACCACCTCCAAGCCATTTATCACATACCAAAGCACCATTAAGTGGTGGTGGTTCATATTTACAAGCATATGCTAAAAAATTTGAATATTATAATATTAAAATTTGAATATTAAAAAAATAATATTAAAATATTATTTTTTTAATATTTACATTGCATATACAATATATAACATATGTTAATATAATTAACTTAAAAACTTTATGATACTTTATCTAACCTTTCAACTGATATATCTATGTAAATTTAAAATATTTGATACAAATAAAACCCAGTGAAGTGGAAAAGCAGAACAGGAATACAAGTACAGGTTTGAGTAGTTTCCAAAATGATTTATATAGATGTCACACTATTCAACTAACCAATGTATTACAGTATCATAGGTAGAGGATGGCTGTGCTTCAAGCTATCCCCATATGTTTGGTTCAGATAATTGTCCATTTACATATCTTCTTCCTTGAAGACACTTCTTGAGCATACCAAACATGAAAATCAGCCAGTGAAAGATCAGGGCTATATAGAAGTTGATGTATTGTAGTAAAAGTGCTCCAATGTGACAATTGTTGCATGTGCCACCTGTGGACATTCATTATTGTAGAGGATCATAACTTTGGTCAGCAATCTGGGCATTTGTTCTTTATTGCATGACAGAATATTATCAAGATTTTATTGTACTGATCAGCATTGACTGTCTTGCCCTGTTCCAGAAAGTCAAACAACAACAACCACAATGATAAAAAAAAAAATTGTGCGCATCACTTTTCCAGTTAGCCAGCTTTAATTTGACTGCATCAAACAGTTAAGTTCAATAAATATTTAATATATTGTTGCCTATAAATAATACTTAACAATAAATAAATTGATCAATATATGTTAGAAGTGACTAGTTTATAAACATCTGGCTTTAGGTATATAAACACATTTGCTTTTGTGGAAAAAACAAATGGTTCTTATGTGTTCACAGTTTGATAATGACTTGACACAGATACCCAATTTTTATGAACACTATCAAAAGCTTTTGAAAAATCCAGATAAGGTGAAAACACTATTAAAATTGGATATTCATGCAATAAAGTTAACCACAGGTCTGGAAAAATATTTCTATATATAGTACACTATATGGTTGATATAAATACAAGTTAGGAAGCATTACAAATCTGTGACTAAAAGTATGCAAGATGCATCAACTTTAATTTCACTCTGCCATATCCATTTTGTTAGTAATGTCAAACAGGAAAAACCAGCTCTAAATAATGAATGTAGGTAAGGAATTTTCATAAGATTGATGGAACAGGTTTATATTTATGAGTTAGCAAACATACCTAAAAATTATAAACACTAATAATGCTAGGAAACTAAGTAACAACTAAAAATGAATAACAGATAACACTAGTTTTAAAAATATTGCTCAGAAAATAATTAAGGATGCTAGTTAATTATAAGTTGTAATAAATCTTTGCAATATCATATTTGGTTATTAAATAATTTAATTTTTACAATATTGGCAATTTTATTGTATGTTGATGACAATTTGTGATATATTATAAAATTTTTTAAATTTTAATTTAAAAATTTCTTAAAAAGTTATAAGTGGTATTTTGTTCAATTCTTTTGATTTGTACAACAGACATGGAACCAACTTCCAGTGTGTATAATATGAAAACTATTTTTTAAATAAGGTCCATTTGTGAATGAGATTTGAGAATGACATGTGATAGCAAGCATGCTGGGAGAATGACGTGTGATTGCAAGCATGCTGGGAGTGGATGCACATGCGTCCACTCCCAGCATGTTTAGCTGCCACTTGCAGCCATATCGTCTGTCTGTGTGCTGAGCTGTAGAAGTTTATAATGTTTAAGAAAATTGAGTCATCCATCGACTGTGAATACGATCTGTTATTCGATTCCTGAGTGCAAGAAACTTGGTGGCAGCAGAAATTCACTGTCAGATTTGTGAAGTTTACGGTGATAATGCTATGAGTGACAGTAAAGTCAAAAAGGGGTGAGAATGTTCAAGGACAGGCAGGTTAATGTGATGGTGAGCCACACCCTGGCTGACCTTCTCTGATTTCTGAAGATTTGGTTCATGATGTAGATAACAAAATTCAAGAGGACCGATGATTCACGATTTCAAAGTTATCAATTGAATTTCCACAGTTTCAAGGTCAGTTTTGTATACCATTGTTTCAGAGAAACTGAATTATCAAAAATTGTGTTCTTGGTGGATTCCAAGACTGCTTTCTGACAATCACAAAACAGAAAGATTGGGCAGTGCTTTATCGTTTTTGACTTGATACAATCAGGGAGATGAATTGTTGGACCACATCATTACAGGAGATGAGACTTGGGTGTCTCACATGACTCCTGAGTCCAAGCAACAGTCAATGGAATAGTGACAGACATCATTGCCAACTAAAGTAAAAGCCAAACAGACAATTTCAGCAAAAAAAGATCATATCAGCTGTCTTTTGGGACAGGAAAGGGGTTTTGTTAGTGGATTTTATGCTGAGAGGCACAACAATCAATTCTGATACGTATTATGTGACCTTCAGAAAACTCTGGCATGCCATACAAAACAAGCAGTGTGGCCTACTGTCTTCCAGTGTGATGTTGCTCCATGACTATGCATGGCCATATTTTTCTGCACAAATGCAAGGTCTAATCAGTTTTTTTGGATGGGAACAACTGGATCATCCACCTTACAGTCCAGACCTTGCATCCAGTGATTTTCACTTGTTTCAGTACTTAATTAAAGGAGTTCCTTGATGGTCAACAGTTCAATGATGACAAAGAAGTGAAAACTGCAGTGATAGATTGGGCTCCTTCACAGGCAGCAGATTTTTTTGAAGTCGGAATTCAAAAAATTGTTGAGAGATATGACAAATGTTTGAACAAAAATGGAAATTATGTAGAAAAGCAGATAAAAATATGTAGAATATGGAAAAAAATATATTTTAATGATATTTACAGTATTTTTCTTTTTATTAAAAAACTAGCAGACCCCGCCACGCGTTGTTGTGGCTCAAAATGTATCTATTATAAATGTATAACACTTCCCCTGTGGGGGGGAAATTTTACGAAAAATTTCTTCTTAGTGTACACTCTCTTGACGTACCCTATTAAAACGCAATCAAAAACGCAAAAACCCGCATCTTAAATAGTATAAATAGAAGCAGAGTTCTTTACTGTAAGCCTTAATCCTGTCCATCTCCCCCCAGTGCGGGGAATTTCGACACGTATATGATATAAAAACACGTGCGCATTCAAATGCAGCGTTGTGTCAAAATTTCAAAGGAATCAGTAGGAACAAACGAACATTACATTTTTATTTATATAAATAGATAGAAGATGATCCACTTTAGTTCATTTTCACAGAAAAGCGTAATGCCTCGCAGAAAAGCAAACTTAGGGTGTCGTACTCGTAGCGCCATCTGTTGGACATAAAAGCCTTAACCTAGATTATATATTTTAATTTATATGAATGTTTAACGGGATAATATACAGCCTATGTCCACCCTGAGGTTCCATTCTAAATATTGGTGAAAGAATTTTTGAAATCGGATGAGTAGTTTCGGAGATTACCTGCTGCAACGAAACTTACATAGAAACATTACCTCTTTATAATATTATCAATAGTATAGATAGACCTTATTTAAAAAATACCCTTTGTATAAAAAATGAACACTTCACAAATATTTTCCAACTCCTTCTGAGTTCTTCTTCAGGTGGGAATGAACGATTACCCGATGGAATGTTCTGATAACATTCTATCAGAACTAATGCCCATTTGTAAAAGTTTTAAAACAGTGTAATTCAAATGACTGTTCAAAAATATAAATGTAAATTTAATGTCGCATAAGCGTTGTCATGTGCATAACGATCATTCAACTAATAACTATAATTTTGTGTCTAACAGGGCCTGCCAGGCTATTGACAACATCATTTCCTCCTTAAAATTTATACAGGATGACTCAAAGTTAGCTTTACAAATTTTCTATGACCTCCAACATCTGTGATACTCTGTGTGCAATGCTGTGAGGACTTTGGCCCATGTGAAGTCTTCAACTATTTCCGGGTCTGCAGTATATATAGAGAGGGCTGTGGATGTTCTGGCATATTGCAAATCTGAGATATGCTCTTGTATTCTTCTTCTTATAGAACGTTTAGAAGACCCAATATACAGAAGATCCCTATCACATCTGGTATCTCTGACAGGGACACTGTATATGCTGGGATCCTCCCAATTATACCAGATATGATAGAAACACTGTATGTGCCAGAAAATTTTTAAAGCTAACTTTGAGTCATCCTGTATAAATTTTAAGGAGAAATGGTGTTGTCAACAACCTGGCAGGCCCTGTTAGACACAAAATTATAGTTGTTAGTTGAATGATCATTATGCACATGACAATTCTTATCCAACATTAAATTTATATTTATATTTTTGAATGGTCATTCAAATTACATGGTTTTAAAACTTTTACAAATGGGCATTAGTTCCAATAACATTCCATCGGGTAACTGTTCAGCCCCACCTGAAGAACTCGGAAGGAGTTGGTAAACATTTGTGAAGTGTTCAGTTTTTATATCATGCACTGGAAGTTGGTTCTGCATCTGTTGTATATATATATATATATATATATATATTTATTTATTTATTATATTTATTATATATATATATATATCCCAGTATGAGTGGTGTGTATATCTTTCGATTTGTTTATTTTTAAATTATTTAAAATTCTAAAAGTTTAAATGTTCATTGAAACAAGTTGTAAAACTGAAAATAGCTTACATAAATTTTATTTACAAAAATAAATTTTTTTGTAAATAAAATAGTTACTTATACAAGTTACAAAAACAAAGAACTGTTTTAACTAAATACTCCTTACAATTCAATGCATTACTAAACAAAGTTTATAAATAAATTATTATAATAAAAAACTGTTAATTCTTACGTTTTACAATTACATTAAAACGACATTCAGCACTATTTTCAGAAGGATCTGAAACATTATAATAAACAGGAGCTGGTAGACCCCATCGAAATTCATCACCACTCTTTCGATTTTGATATTTTGAATCTGTTTTAATCTTTCCTGAATTGTCCTATTAAAATAAAAGTTATGAATTAATTACAGAAAGTTTGAACATTATGATTAAACTACTAACAAGCTCAATAGACTTATTTTTATTTTATACCTTTCATAGCCTTTAAATTTCTATTTTAATTTAATTTAAAATAAAGGTCATGTTTTAATTAAAAAATTCAAATTTATTCATTTACTTAAATATTTTCATATACCACAGAAACATTTAAAGAACTTTTAATTTAAAAATATTACTTCGATCTGCTTAATTTAAGGGAACCAACTTCTTTATTTTCTTTAATAAAAGCATTTTCAGTTTCAATTTTTGTTTTTTACTTTAGTTTCAACTTTTTTGAGAAGTTCTAAAAAGCAGAAGTTGTAACTGAAGATGGCTTGAAAATAACTTAAAATATCTTTAATAAAGAAAATAAAAAAGTTGGTTCTCTTAAATAAAGTGGATTGAAATAATTAATACAAAATGGCACAAAATTTTTGTGAGATGATATAATATTTATTTTGGGGTTTTCATTTTAGTCTATCTGTGATTTGTCTGTAAAATGATTAAAATAGTTAATTTATAAAGAAAATCAGTAGAGCTGCCTTATTCAAAATAGTTGAATAATTGAAAAACTGGATTTAATTAAGTATAAACAATTGAATATAATTATAAACTAATTTCTAAGAAAATACAAATTATTAATTGACTATTACAAATGTGAGTTGAAATATGATTTATTGATTTAGACAAGTGATTCCCAAACTTTCTCGAGCCACTGCCCCTTTGGTTCTATAAACTTATACCCAACACATTCTAACCATACCCCAATGCCCCTAACCCATTTTCTCTTGTGTGAGAAAGACTTGAAAATATTCTTAGAAAAACTTTTCTATGAACCTCACACTTTGTGTCCTTACCATACATTGTTCTCAACATATGGAAATCATTAAATGCAATGTTTCTTCTTACCTATTTTAATAAAGGAAAGAGAAAAGTTGTCAGTGACCCAACCTTCAACCTTTACCTATGGTCACCCTTTAGTACCCTGCCTCCAGCATCCCCCTGCTGCCCACTTGCTTCTTTTCACCCCTCTAGATTTACTCACTGCTCACAGGGGGCAGTAGTATCCACTTTGGAAACCACTGATTTAGATGCACTCAAAAAATTTATTAATATTAGTTCTTTATACTTGGCATATATCAAAAAATTGTATCAGTTAATAATTACATATTCAAGTTCATGCCTTCTGGAATTTTAATGTACAGTAGAGCATTGATTATCCAAATACCGATCAACCAAAACATCAGTTAATCGAAAGTGTTCCAGTTGGCAAATTCAAATTTCTGCTAGTGCTGTGGTGCAGCAATATTTGGCTATGTCTTGGGCTACTCAAATATTATTTTTGTTGGTATGCATGTTTTAGCTGGCAGCACTGGTGCGACCATATTGTATTTTTAAAAATTATCTTTTAATTTTGCACAAACAAAATAAATATATTGAAAAACAAAAACAAAAAAAATTATATTTCAGAAGTTAATCTAGTATCAAAAACATTCCAATTTAGCATAACACATGTCAAGAGGGTACTTAATTAAGGATGTGCCAATATTTGAATGAGGCTTTTTTCCCGTGTTTTTCTTCAGCTTGTTGGAGAATATAGCCCAAGCAGCTGACATCTCCAGATAAACCCAAGAAAAAGAAAGAGTTTTGCTTGTTTTGTGTGGTGTTTTTCTGAAGACTGTGTGTTGAGATGTGTGTCAGGGCATGTGTTGTGCTGAATCAAAATGTTTTTGATATTAGATTAACTTCTGAAATATCATTTTTTTTGTTTTTATATTTTTCAATATATTTATTTTGTTTATGTAAAATAAAGAAATAATTTTTAATGATACTATAGCCACAATTATTGTTTCAAAAAAATTTTTGTTAGGCTTAACATTGACGAAAATTCAATGTGAAGCAACATGCAACAGAGAAAAATTTCAACATGGGATAGGTTAATATATTTTTTCATACATGATCAGTTATCCAAACAACCCCAGTCCCAAATTGTTTCAGATAATCAATGCTCTAATATACTTTTATATTGTACAAATTCTCATTTTTATGTGCTTTTTAAAATTTAAATTTGGGTAAATCATACCCACACATTAAATCAACATTCACTAATTTTTATGTACTATAATTTAGTTAATTAATTTTAATATTATCAGTAAAACTATTATCAGCAAATGAACTTCTCTATTACTAGAAACATATTAACATCTAATCTCAGAACCTCTTCAGTATCCATAAAACATTTTACTAGATGCTGAAGAGGTTCTATGATTAGATATAAAAAATATTACCAGCGTGGCAACCAGGAGTAGCAACACTGAGCGATAAAATAAATAAAATAACGCAAGGGACTGGCAACACCACTGAACTCTCTAGCAGGAAAGTAAGTCTTTTATTGTGTTGACTCTCCTGGTGAGCATATGCATGTACAACACATGCATGTACAACATATGCATGTACAACAAAAAGTTTGTGTGTGTACCATGATCATTGTATATATTGTGTTTAGAGATTATATGTAAAAATTTTGAATCAACTCTGGGATAATCTGACTGATCAACTGTGCCACCAAGAAAACCAAGACTGTTGATAGTAGGGGTAAAACATGACCTCTTAGTTGTGCCCACCACACCAGCAACAGTATCTTTGTTTAAATCTCAAAAGTAAATTAATATGAATTTTTGAAAAATCAGAAAACTGAGTACAAAATATCCCAAAAATATGCATTACCCCAGTGTTTCTCAAACTTTTATCTTCCAGCAGTCCCCCTAGAGTAGAATTCAATTCTTACTATTTTTTATATATGTTTTAAAACGTCTTTGTTTTAAAAATGTTTATTCAATTTAAATAATTTTATATTTTTAACTTTAGTAAATGCTTTTATAGTAAAAATAAATATTATGAGAAACATCTTTATTCCACAATATAATGCATTTCTTTCTTCTGATAACTTGAAAACCCTCACAAACACATTCATAGATCCTCTTAAGATCTTCAGATCATATGTTGAGAAACACTGCATTACCCAAATTTTCTCAGACACCCAGGTAACAAAACAATGATTATCTGGATTTTTATAGTGTCCAGAACTGATTATAATACAAACCTAATTACAAATACAGCAAAGCATCGATTATTCGAATATTGATCAACTGAAACGTCAATTAACCAAAAGCTTTCCAGTCAGCAAATTTAAATTTCCACTAGTGCTGTGGTGCTGAAATCTTTGGCTACTCCAATATTATTTTTGTTCATGTGTGTGTTTTAGCTGGCAGCACTGGCACAACCTTGAGCGGTTACTTAAAGACATGCCAGGATTTGAATAAATTTCAACATGGGATAAGTTAATATATTTTTTCGTACATAATTGGTTATCCAAAAAATTGATTTTCCAAACAACCCCAATCTCCAATTGATTCGGATAATCAATGCTCTACTGCATATTAAAATATCATTCTTACTTCAAATTCAGGTTCTGTCCAGTTAACAGAAATGGGACTGCTTTTACCATGAAAAATGACTATATCCTTTGGACAGTTTTTAACCCTTGGAGGTTCAATATCTGAAATATTTTATAAATCATCAATTCTTATATAAAATTTTATAATTAAAAAGTAATGACAATTTAAAAATTTCCAAAACATTTATTTTTTATAAACAGAATGAAGGTATTATAACAATTAGACCTGGACAACTTATAGTAGGGTATGATCTATTTCTATTAGTCAAAAATGCTAATGAGCTATCACTATACAATCAAATCTTGTTTTAACAGATTGCTCATCTTGCCAAAAATTGTCCATTGTTACAAGAATCTGATAACTCACAAATATTCAATGGCCTCGCTAAATTTTGGCAACTATTCTTAGACCAGCATCAGACTGGTCACTAGATGGCTCCTTTTCAATTGTATCAGTCTGCTGATGGTCTTCATACAATTCTTCAATTGTATAGTACATATCCCAGATGTTACAAGTGCATTATAAAATTCTAAAAACTCCCATAAACATTCAAATATCAACTAAACAGTGAAAAAATACAAAGTTTACAATAAATGGATCTAGAAAAAAAGTCTGTCATTCCAAGTTCCACTAAATGGAGGTAAAATTATATTGTTTTGGTGTGATCTGAAAAAGTCTCTTATTCCACGATTTTTCCATCCTGAAATCTGTTAAAACAAGATTCTACTATATTTTTTTCCTTTGTAAAACTTTATTAGGTTGGTTAAAATTATGTTGCAAAATGTACCAGTGATTATGAAAATGCCCTGTCATTTTTCATTCAGAGATATTTTGACTTTTGAATTTGTAAAAATTAAAAAAAAAAATATATATATATATATTTTGATTGATCATAAGAAAGAAACACAAATATATTTACTCTTGCAAAGTAAGAATTTTTATGCAATTGTACAATTTTAAAAATAGTTTGCAAAATAAATTCAATGTTTTTCCATTTTTTACTTTCATAATCACCAGTACAAATATATTTATTTATTACATTGTAATGATGTTCCAGATTATCTTTGTTTCAACAGACACTTAAAGCTTCCTTAAAAAAAGAAGAGCTTTTATCTTTTGCCACAACAAAAAATGTTTTATTTTTATTCATAAGGAAATGCTAAGCTTTGCTGTTTTTTGATGCACTCATTTTGCACAAAAGGAAATTTTTAAGAGCATTACAAAGCAATTTTTAACACAATGATAAGCTTTAGCTCTAACTATTAGGGCTGTGGAGATTGATCACAGACCTATACAGGCCAGGTTAAGTCTTTGATTGATCTTTCATTGTTTCCTGAGCTTCTGATGTAACATTCTTGGTTTATGAATTTATTTTTCTCCTTTTATGCTCTTTAAATTACATATATTGATTTTTCAAACTTTATAACAAAGCTTTGATTAACTTTTCTGCATAACTTTTGGGATTAATTATATCTAGCTTTATTAATTATCGGTTGAAAATGTCTGGTAATATAAATCAATGTAGTGACATTGTTCTGTACTAGGTCCATTGCTGTAATCATTAAAATGATTCCATTCCATTGTGTTTAAACTTCTGCACTTTTAATATTTAAAACAAGTACACATTACACAAAACTGAAGTTACTATTTCTTCTATTTTATTTTTTAATGTCTTTTTTTCTAGTTACATTCTTAGTTATTTTGAAATGCTACCAATAGTGCATTACTTTTCAACATATATTTTATTTTTTAAAAATTCAATTTCATTATGGAATTTTTATAGGATTTTAAGAAGATTCACGAAATTAATTGAGCCCCATAAGAAATTCTCTAATGTTGATAAAATGCATATTTTGATTACTCATTGTAATAAGTACTGTACTTCCATATTGATTTCATACAAACTGAATAAGTGTTGCTGTATAAAACAGTAAAATAATTGCTAGACATGCTTAATTTTAATGGTTAATTCCACATTCTAAAAATTTTTTTACCAATATAGAAAATCAGGTCTCTTAGTTTTTCATACTCTACAACATCATACGAATCATCAAAACTAAAGAACACTTAAGTGGTGTTCCTTATTAGTCAAATAGGTCATAAAAAACTTAAGCTAGCAAGATAAATCATCTACAAAATCATTTAAAAAATTATGCATGCTCATAAAATTAAAATAATTAGTATTATTTCCAAATTTGTCAGTTTTATTAAATGAGTATGACAAAAAGGAAGAAACTTAAACACGTAAAAACTGAAAAACTTATATATAATATAGCATTAAACGAAAAGAGTAAAATAACTTATATGCATATAAAGTTTACCTTTAATGATAACATGAAAAGAACAAGTTGCATTTAATCCAGATACATCAGAAGCCACATATGTAACTATATTATCACCAATATTAAAAGAATAAGACTCTTTTTTTAATTTTGGAGGATTAACAATTTTTACACTTGCAACTTTAACATTGTCAGTAACAATTGGAGGATTCCAAGTAACCTTTCCAGTAGGTTTATGTTTATCAGTAAATTTCATAATATCATCAGGGCACTTCAAAGAAGGAGGCATAGTATCTGCAAAAAATTTTAAAAAATTAACTTAATTAATTAATTAAATTTTATAAAGATAAATTTTAATAGCTACATTTAAATAATCAAGTAATTTAAATTCTTAAATCTACAACAAAATTATTATATAAAAACAATTGAATAATTTTAAAAGTTTGAAATTTAGCAGTAAAAAATTTATTTTGTTATCTTTCAAATGAATTATTTAGATTGATACCATGTAAATGTTATAAAATCCTATTAAGAATTGTCAAATCTAATATATGTAATAATGTAGCTACTAGAATCTGGATCTCTTCCATTTTATCTATCTATACTTTTTAGATTAATAATAGTATCATTATTCTTAATAGAAATTAAATGTCATATTTCATATGAGCTTGTGTACCTAGATGTGCTTACATGCACTGTAAAGAGAAACATTTTCTATTCCTTTTCCCAATATTGTCCTTGCATATTGTATCCAAAAACAATAGAGAGGTTGCAGCCGACATTTTCATCACAAAAATGTGTATGTCGGACGTTCATCGCTGCCTTCCTGTAAGCCTAGAAGTTTGACAATGGCATTTGATACACTGAGCATGATTCCACTGATGTTCCAAATACCATTGTCAAACTTCTAGGCTTACAGGAAGGCAGAACCGAATGTCCAACATACACATTTTCACGATGAAAATGTCGGCCGCAACCTCTCTAATTTTGAATTCAAGGTATTCATATCTTTTACTGGAATATATCTATAAAAATTACTGAATTGTTTCATACAATTATTGATTAATTAAGTAATAGGGGGATTAAACAGAACTGGAAGACTGAAACTGGAGTGATAAGATATTTCTATCATTGAATATGTACTATCAAATGAGATGAGATTGATTTCTAGGGATGACTTTGATGACAACACAAAATTTTCTTTTCAGTTCATATTTCCATGAGTATGAGTAATCCATCAACAACCATGATTTGGTGTAGCAGTGAACTGCAAATGTACAGTACATGACAAATTGGTTGCCAATTTATTGGTGCCAATTTGCAGTAGTTTGTAGATTGAATTAAATATGTGAGCTCCAAGTTTTGGCTGTATGTACTTATCACACACTATTGACACAGCAAGAGGAATCATGCAGAGATGAATGAACACTGGTTATTTATTGTAAAAACAGTATGCATCTCAGACAGTCTATCTGTCCCTTTTCAGTCACACTTGTAAATTTGTATCCTGTATAATAAAATATTTATATTGCATTAATTACAATGAAAATATATTTAGCTGATTTTGTAACGTACAGTCGATCCCCCTATAAGATCATTGATTTTTCCGTTTTATCTGAATTACATGTTGTACGAGTCACTTAGATTTTACAAATACGTGTGCCGGGCTGTGAACGGCTCNACTTCTAAATTTAGCTTTGGAAAGCTTAGATGACAGAGGGATAATATGATAACAATGATTCAAGAAATTATTTGAGAGGAGATGCAAAATATGCAGAAGATCTTCCTTGATTAACAGAACCAATAGCAATTGCTTCAGTATGGGTGGAGATTCACCTGGTAGAAAATAGAACCACTGAGAAATCTGCTATTGCCACTGATTAGTCACTCTAATGCAGTAATGCACATGAATAACTAGTGTAGTGCTTCTCAAACTTTCTGGTGACAGGCCAGTTTTTTTATCTCAATTCCCTCATGCACTTCTAATTTTCTGAATTTAAATAAAAATAATTGTAAAATGGAAAGAATTTTTTATTTTTAGATTACATTAGTAAGAAAAATACAATAACAAAATTTGGTTCTAATCATTTTGAAAAAATAGATTTGTCATCTGTTTTCAAGTAATTTCTTGGGCCAATTTTGGTAGCCAGTCATCCTTGCACTAAATGTTTAAATAATAAAGATAAATGAAAGTTATAAAATAATATGTTGTCAATTCCTCAGTCCAATTTTTTTCAGGCTGACTATCCAAAAAGTGTCAATTTTTTATCATTGTAGTTGATATATAATTAATTTTTATGAAAAAATATGCAAAAATGTGTTCCTACGTGTATTTTTTCTGTGGCTGACTATCCAAAAAGTGTCAATTTTTTATCATTGTAGTTGATATATAATCAATTTTTATGAAAAAATATGCAAAAATTAATTCTCACACATTTTTTTTTCTAAAAATAAAATTATTTTATTGTTTATAACACACTTGTATTAACACAACCTTTGTTTAACTTCAATAACTTTTTGTAGCAAACGGACTAACATTTACTACAAAAAGGACTTATTGGAGTTAAACAAGGGTTCTAAAATACAGGTGTGTTATGTACAGAAACTCCAACCTATAAAGAGATGATATTTATATGATATTTGTGATATATGATGATAAATATATATAAATATATAATATTTATTGTTTATTTAATAATTATTAATAATATTTATAAATAAAATAATTTTGATTATTTGTTTGAAAAAACTACCAAAGACAATTTATGTAGATGTTATCAGATTACAGAATAAAACTAAATTTTCTGCCAAAAACCACAAAATAATTTTTGTAGCATAATGCCATTTATTGTAGAAATAGTGAAACAAACATTTAACAAGTGAATGCATCAGAGACATTAAAATAGAAGTTTCTACAGCATTTTTTCACAATAAACATATGACATATACATATGTCAAAACCAAAAAAGTGATCACTGCATATGAATGTATGGGATGTGACAGTGACTGAGAAAGGGTTAATTTAATAAAAAATTATTGTTATAATTTCTTGCATAACTTAGTTTGTATCTAAGTTTGTTTTCTAAGAAAAAATTTGTGCTTAACTCTTAACAAGTTATTTTTTAATTTAAATATATATTGACTATAATAAAAGTAATATGGTATAAGTTTAGATTAATTTCTAAAATATAGAATTATATGTTAAAAATGAAATTTATCTAAATAAAATACGTCAAACTCCTAAATAATTTTAAAGAACATCTAATTCATTAACCTAAAAACCACTGAATTGTTATTTACTCGTGAAGCAAACATTTTCATCCACTTTCAATGGACATCTTCATGCTAAAGATTAAATTATATCTATATAATTTTTGAACAATCCAAAACTTTTGTGTTGCTCACTGATTGGTGGAGATGTTTTGAATGATGTATGAAATGCATTTATAATTTGATATTTAGCTTGAAGATGTCCATTGAAAGTGGATGAAAATGTTTGCTTCAAAAGTAAGTACTGTATTTACTTGTATATAAGACAATCTCACATATAGGACAAGGTGTGACTTTAAAGATCAAAATAAAAAAAATTAGATTTAATACATTTCTAATTTTATTTTGTTTAATCACAAATAAAATATCAACTGCACGTAAATGCACACAATGTCCCACAAAAATTACTGGCATTTTAAACTTTAAAGAAAAATCTTGTAAAATCGACCACATAATTTGTTCACGTGAAGCTGGACAATCGGGTATCTTTTTTGCCAGTTCTTAACAGTTGAATCACTCTTCGTCGATTACACTTATGGGTTTCTCCAAATTCTGATTTCTGAATAATCATCTGTTTTTACATGGGAATGGATTAAAACTTATATTGGGCTTCCATCTGATTTTGGAATTTAAATTTGGAATTCAATTGAAAAGCTTTACTTTTCCTACTACTATTCATCTTTACTCCTGACAATATGCAAGATCGATTCAAACAACCCAGATAAATACCAGAGGGTGAGCATCCGGTAAAAACTACGAATACGCTGTTCATAAAAATTATTGCAAAAATTCAAAGAATCCTTCGCTCGCGTGTATAGGACGACCTAGGTTTTTGAAGCAGTGAAAAATGAATAAAAATCTCGTCTTATATGCGAGTAAATACGATATTTACTGTTTATTTTTTTAAAATAATCATTAAACATGACAAATATGTAATTTCCAATTCCAGTATAATTATGTGAAAACAAATAAACAGTAATCGCATTTTACTCTTAGACAATGCAACTTGCGTGGAGAATGTTTTAAATTCTTTTTTTTGTTCTATTTTAGCAATAGTAAATTTTTTGTGTATGTGACAAAATATTTACATTTAACTTAAAAATATGCAAGTATTGAATACTATTTAACAGACTGTTCCTCAAAGATATGTCTAAAGACCCGAAAAAGTTTGCGATTTTTATATCAATCAACTGTAATAAAGTAGTATTTTAATTTTAAATATATTAAGCATTAAGGAGCAAGATTTTCTGTATAATTTTCCTTCAATACTCTAATTGGTTTAATCTGATTTGAATAAACACTGCTATTTTATTTGATAAATCCAAAAGTAAATAATTTCTATTGATACTAAACTTGTTATATAATTTCAGTAGACAAATATTGTATACAGTTATCTATTTTTACCTAAGTTAATTTTTAAATTGTAAAAAATAAGATTGATAATGAGATTTCCTGTTGTTTTATAATTTAAAAAAGTTTTTTTAATAACATTTAATTATTGAAGCATGTTAACTTGATTTTTTTTGTTTGCATTAAAAAAGTAAAATAAGTTATTGGAAGGTAAAATTTTTAAATTTAATTTTTGACTCCATAGAAAATACATTATATTGGAGTAGAAAGACAGTCAACAACAAATTTTTCATTTTAAACTACAAACCATTTAAATATAATTAGATAATGAAGTTTTAAATAAATAAATTGTTTATATTTTGAAATAGTGTTATTTATGTTAAAATTTAAATTATTTCAGTACTGTTAAAATGATTAAATTTAATTTACAAAACTGTTTTGGTTTAAACTTGTTATGAATTTAAAGTATTATTATAATAAATTTTCAATCAATTATGTATTTTATAGGATGAAGCTTGGGAAGAGAAAGAATTATCTACAGCCGAACTTGTTTACACGGGAAGGAAAAAGAAGCGACTGTGTTTGGTACTAGATTGTCTCTGCGCTCACGATTTCGGTACGCGCACGGCCGATATGGTAAACATGCAGCATTACGTGATTAAAGAAAAGAAATTACCCGAAAGAGAAGCAATGTTAATATTTCACGATGTTGTTAGAATTGTCTGTGCCCTTCATAAAGTAAGTAAATATATATCAATACAGGAATTAAGTTATAAAATTTTAGAAATACATTGCACTCTTGCTAATCTAATTAATTTTGTTCACTTTTCCAGTAAACATTGCAACCAAAAACAATCTCAGATTACTTTTGAAAAGTAAATAATGAATTTTAAAAATTGTTTATACAGTATTGTATATTAATTTTTAATATATTTTTATTGTAANTGGATTAAAACTTGTATCAGACTCCCGTCTGTGTAATTTTGGAATTTCAATTTGGAATTCAATTCAAAAGCTTTGCTTTTCCTATTGCTATTCATCTTTACTCCTGACAACACACGAGAATGATTCAAATGACTCAGATAAAATAGTTTTGTTTTTAAACACCAAAGGGTGATCATCTAGTAAAAGATGCAGATATATGATTCACAAAATTTATTGCAAAAACACAAAGAATCCTTTGCTTGCATATATTGAATGACCTAGGTCTTTGAAGCAATGAAAAATGAATAAAAACCTTGTCTTATACACAAGTAAATATGGTAATTCTGTTGGTTTTAGGTTACTGAGTTAGATGTTCTTTACACATTAACTTGCATTCAGCAGTCATCCATTAAGTAATTTTATATTTATTTAAAAACAGAAAAAAAAGAATTTTGATTTGAATATTCAATAAGAATTACATTCTACATTAAACTGCTTACCTTTACAAGTAATTTTTTCATATGATCTAGACCAAGTTCCATTGGTTAAGCATTTTCTGATTCCAATATCTTGATTTTCTGAAAAGTCTTTTAAAGTAACCAACTTGTATCCTTCTTTACAAAAGTATCTATATAAATAAGTTACAGTTGATTATCTTATTAATTAAAAGTAGGTAAGAAAATTTAATTATTAGAACAGTTAAAAGTAATTTAGTTATCTAAAAAATTCAATGTAACACTCTATATTTAGTATCTAATAGTAAAAACAATTTGTTTTAATAAGTCTACTTCTGGATATTAATTATTCATTAAATTGTAGTACTTGTGGATCATGTGTTTATTTCCTTTCCTTTGTCTTCTATATATCTATTTCATATATTAATGTCATTTTCTTCAGATCTGTTTATCCTTTGTTTCTTGGCTGGTTAACATCCATTGGTTAGGTAATACACAGGAGTGAATTATTGGCCTTCATACATGTGGAATATAGAAATTTCATTGCAGGTCATGGGGATAGAAGAAAAAGCAGGTGTTTGGACTAAAGCCAAGATGAACAGTGGACAGATAAACAAGTTTAAGAGGAGGATGAAAAGAAGAAAAAGAGAGTAAAAAGATATCATCTATGGAGAAGACAGTATTGTTGAAACCATCTCCTAAGAAAATTAGTCTTTGCTTTTCAATACAAAGATGAAGCAACTTAAGAATCAGAGGAGAACAGACTAAGAATGGAACTTTCTCCATGAACAATATTCACCAAGAAGTGATAACCCTCTCCTGTTGTATCTGTAAAGTGTATTGGCCAACCAGTATAAGGAGTCGAGTCTGAATGTTATATTTTATTTTTGGAGCTTTTATTTAGTTACATGCGGCTTTGAGACCATGTGGTTTTGTTCATTGTTGACCTTTAGTCTAACCAAATGGACTTGTCATGGTTGGGAAGGTCAAGCAGTAGAATCCAAGCCCAAGTGACATCAGAAGGACCCAGATCTAGGAAAACCCTTTCACAGATCTATATGACAGAAAGGACACTTTTGATTTGGCAAGTGAGAAGAAAGGACATCGTGAGAAATAGGTCCTGAAGAGTGGCAAAGTATTCTTTCGCTTTGGGTTGTATGTGTGAGAGCCTGGACTTGACAAAAATTTTAACAGATTTACTTTAAAAAAAAAATTGATTATTTTTTGAAAGTAAATCTGTTAAAATTTTTCCTAGCAAAAACTTTATTGTTGGAGGATGTGATTATATTTTTCCCACAAATGTGCTTCTGTGTCCAGGGATGACATCTTTTGAGTGTGTGTCACCGGGAACCTAACAGAAAAATCGCTATTGGACACAGACTTTAAAATTTCCCAAAAAGGACAAGAGCAGAGAAGAGAAATCCCCCAATTAAAAGAACGGGATCGATGATGACAGTTGTTGTTCATCAATCACCTCAAGTCGGAGAGTCAAGGTTAGCTATCCCGTTGGGAAAACAGTTCACTATATTGTCAGAAGGAAGAGTTGCTATCTCACTGGAGTCCAGCCCTGACTTTCTCAGACAGTTCTTCCACCAATTTGGATATCGCTTGGATTATCAGTTGGATTTATTATCTTACTCTAGAAGACATCCTTGAAACCTCCAGGAAAGGAACATCTACCAAATCTACAGAATTGAAGCATCCACCACCAATAAAGTATGTACTGTATCTACATCACATTCAATTGTAAACTCTCTCTCTCTCTCTCAGTTAGGAATCTGATTTAATTAAGAATGCTATACTATAAGTTTGAATATGTATATAGGTGTAAATAAGTCTATACAATAAAACAGATAAATATTCAGAATTGTGGTGGTTGAGTGCACTTTTTGTCTCCAGATACGGTGTCTCTTGGATCGTCTCTATCCCAAATCCTACTGCCTACAAATGCAACTGCTCATGTGTGAACAAATTGCCATTGCAAATTCTGTGTTCTTTAAAACACAGTGGTGTCAGTCCTGACAGGGCATCAAGGAGTGCTGACTCTCCAGTCACATAAGTGTCACAAACAGTGGGTGTGGGAGAGAGATAGAGAATTAAGATATATATTGTGATAGTTGTGAGTTTTGAACTGAAATTAAGAATGGTAAAATAAACTTTTGGGTCTTTCATTGGAGCTGTAGAGCATGTTTACATTATTGGATATGTTTTCTTTTGTACTTGCACAGGAAACTCTCTAAGCTACAGAAAACTTCCCCACATTTCATTATTTATTCTGGAGACATTTTATTTTGTTTAAAGCAGGGCTGTGGAGTTGGAGTGAGAGTTGGGAAAAATGTGTCAACTCCGACTCTGACTTCAGCATTTCAAATTTAATTTAGATTTTTTATTTAAATAAAAGAAAATTTATTTTAGATTTAATAATTTTTTAAAATGTTTTCTTTATTTTGTTATAATTCATTTATTTTAAATACAAAATGCAACAATTTAATTTATTAAATATGTATTTCCTTTGTAGTATTTGTGTTTAGTAGTTAAATTGTTTTGATTCAATTGAATTTGAATATTTTTGAATCATTCTTATTATCCGTGCTCTAAATGAATACAGGTAACCCCCATATAACATGGAAGTTACATTCCAAAAAATTGCAGTGTTATGCGAATCCATGTTAAACAAAACAAAGAACTAGTGCGAAAAGGGTGGTTAGGTTCCAAAAATTAAAAAACATGCTGTTAAATCCTTCTTTAAATCGGATTTATTATTCATTTTTTTTTTTTATGGGTAAAATACTTATTTATTATTTGAGTAAATATTTTACCAGAGGATTATTCATCTTATATGATGATCTCAGCATGAGCATCATCAACTGGTAAGTTTTTGGGTGCATTCGTTAATAGCGATCGCTCTGCATCTCCGCTACAATGGGAGTGCGCTGCTGTTTGTAGGCATTTAGGAACGACGGTGAAAAAAAAAAAAGATGGCGATGCCCGCGCTATTGGTAGTATCATGATGGAGGAATCTATAATTCTGAAATATGAGCTTTTAGAAACAAAAGAAGGTCCCAATTGTAAAATTTAACCATTAAATGGATTATTTGTTGAAAGAGCATTCAAAGTAACCACGAAAAAATTAGAATGCTTGCACAGAGTTGCATGGAGGTATAAAAGAACACACCCTTTATTACATTTCATGTTGTATGAGGGTTTTATCCAATTCTTGAACCATGTTAAAGTGAATCCGTGCTATAAAAGTAGTGTGTTATATGGGGGTTACCTGTACTCTATTTTTCTGAATGAGCAAGACTAATTGATCTGAATATATATTTTTCTTTTCTGAACAAGGGGCTGAAGTAGCTAGATCTGACACTTTTTAGTTGCACCAACTTTTCTGGAAAGGTGAAACTGAAATGCAAATGTTGTAGAATAAGGATATGTACTGTAGATGTTGAATTTTATCACCCCCTTTCTCCTCTTATTAAATATTTGTTAAAAATTAAGTTTTTTATGCAAATAAATATTAATGTAAGTTAAATATTAAAAATACTAACTATAAAAGTATTTGGGTAAATGCCCAGGGCTCCTTTCAGAGTTCAGAGTGGATATGCCCCTATGAGTGCCTCTGCCCCCATAAAATGACTTGGTTTTTAATTTTGCCAAAGTCAGAGTCAGCCTACTAAAATTATCAGAAATCAGAGTCAGAGTTGAGTGTTTTTTTACCGACTCCATAGCCCTGGTTTAAAGGACAAAAATCTCTGCACCGCCCTAGACAAAAAAATCTAAAATTCTAAAATAAAATTCTTACTTTTCACATGCACACTTATAATACCAACGTTGCCAATCTAACAAGGCATCTCAGATTAAGCGATCTCTGAACGGAGTTAAAGAATTGTCTTTTAATCCTTTTGTTATTAATTTTAAAAATCAGAGAAGTTTTTTGGAAAGATTGAAGACTAGTATAACCAAAAGATTGCAAAGAAAGAAAATAATTGTTAGTGCATAAGTATGTAAATGAGTAAGAGTGGTATAGCTAATTATGACTTCACACCAAGACATATAAAAACCCTGGCAACAATAAAGAGGATGAGGTGAAGCTTCTGAACACAAGTGAAGAGAGTTCCAGAGCAAGTGATGAAAAGGATTTCCTGATGTTTTTTGGTATGAAAGTTTTTTGGTTTAGATTGTAAGAATTCTCTTTTGTTATTATTAATTAATTAATTAATCGAGTTCTGCTTTACTTTATCAGTTTTTATAGAGAGTTAAATTTTAAGTTAGCGTCCCCAATTGTTAAAAAAAGTTTTTTCTTTTAGTTTTGATTTGAATTAATTACAGTTCTGAATTTTATACTTTTTTTGTGTAATATCATTAACACACTTTTATGGGTTTTTACTAATCTCCTGTAAATAGTTTGTTCATTTGTAATAAATTTTATTTCATTATTGACACATAGTAAATTATTTTGGATTTTTTTACTCTAACCATTTTTGTGAACTAATCTATTCATGTTATTTTTGCCCATTTCTGAAATCCAGGCCTGGAAACTGACTTACCCTAAGTATTTCATTGCTTATGTAACACTGTTAGGTTATTTCTGGGCTATTGAACAGCGTATTACATCAGTAATTATTTTTCTTTCTTTACATCCTTCTTTTTCTCACATTCCAACTGCTACACCTTTATTTATTAATGTAGTGTATTATGCATAAATTTTTTTAACCATGATCTATTGTTGAATCAGATCATACCAACCAAAACTGTAATATCGTGAATTCCATATATATTTCTAACTTTTTTTTGTAATGAGATTAAACAAAAAGTTACTAGTGATGATAAAAAAACTTTTATAAAATTATGTTTGTGGAAGATACCTTCCTCATCTATGCAAGTATACGTTGTCATTTTATAAAAGGTAAAAGAAAATTATCATCAGTCAACAAAATAAAATATCAATTCTTTTAGAACTGATAATTTAGTTTTTAGTGAATTAATATGAGACCAGACAATAAATTTAAAGTAATTAAACCATTAGAGAAAAAACATGTTCACTTTGTAAAAAGATATTAAATATACATGAATCGTAAAATCATAAATATACATGATTTTCCTTTCTATTATAAATAATTTAAGTTGTAATTTATACAGGTATTAAAAATATAAACTGAAATCTATTTATAAATAAAATTATATTTAGTTTAACTTAAAATAATATATTATCTAAAAATTATTAAAGTATTAATTGTCATACAAATGCATTATTGTATTTTTAGAAAGATACAAATTACTTTCTTCCTGTCTACAAGTTAAATAAATGCAAATGATTGAAAAAAATTAGTTTGATTTATTTAAAAAAGTGAGAAAAATATGCTTATAGAATAGAAAATAGATATTTATAAGTTTATATTATCAGCAGTAAAATACAAAGATTGATATCAAAACTGTAAAAAAAGAATCTACAAAACAAACTTGAAAAGTAGAAAAAACATATATATGTATACATTATTCACAAAGGTATTTTCAGTTTTTTAAGAAATGTAAACACTAAACACTAATTGGAAATAAGTAGAATTTTTCTGGGGAAAGACAGCTTTACTCTTTGTGAACAAATAAGTTTTTTTAAATATCTTTTTATTATAAGCAAGAAAGAATATAAGATGCTATGTTAAATAGGCAATAGTAAAGAACTTAATCTTTCAGTTTGGACAATTAACAATTTATTAAAAGTTAGTTTTTATTATTATGTCATATAATTAATATATTTTTATTTCATTACTAACATTGTTGCAAAAAATAGCATTTCCCTAAAGTATTTAATTTGGTTTAAATTTAAATTCTTAAGTTGAATTCAAATTATGTTAGAACAACAAAAAACATTAGATTATTAATAGCCAGAATAATAGACAACAAACAAAATAGGTTTGTTGGCTATTAGTCTGTACTTAATTCTTGTTTTATAGACTTGATTATTAATAATTCAACTTTTCTAATTTTATCCATCTAACTGGTATTTTATACCTTTTTAAGTTAATAAATCATGAACAAGAATTTTGTAAAATGTTCTGATGTTAAAAAGTAATTTTCCAAAAGTAATACACTATTTTAAATGCCATTTTAAATTGTTAATTACTTTACATTTAAATAAGAAAAGTTTACTTTAAATATAATGCTTAATTTAGAGAAAAAAATGTTTTATTTACCGACAGACAGTATTAAGTTCACTTTTATCCTTAAAACATGACTTTGGCTTTACTCGAAGAAGCTTATTGATCTTCAAAACAGGACACTGAACAGCTTTGAAAAAGTAAAACAAAAAAATATTAATTTTTTAAACTGAATGCTTATCAAATTATAAAAATACCAAAAACTATGATATTTTCATGTGGATTATTTGCAAGTTTAAAGAATTAGTAAAAGTAAAATAAAAGCTTTCATATAACTCACACTAGCATGCATCTCATACCTGCCAAATGATATTGAGAACACTACTTGTTAAATTTCTCTCCTGTCATTACCTATATGTGTGGCAATGATTTGTGTTATATGTCCTTCATTTGTACTTTTTATTTTTCTAACAAATAAACAGCCATGGGGTGGCGTCTCTATCAAGCCTGCCACTTTTTGGTTCAGTGTGACTTTGAAACGGATCAAAGTAGTCGTGTATGATTTATACTTGTAAGGTATCCTAGTCTCCATCTGTACTCAACACATAAGTGATAACCGTATTTACTCGCATATAAGACAAGATTTTTATTCATTTATCACAGCTTCAAATTCCTAGGTTATCTTATATGGCAAGCAAAAGATTCTTTGCGTTTTTGCAAATAATTTTTGTGAACTGTGTATTCGCATTTTATCAGATGCTTACTCTCTTGTATTTAAAAACATAAGTATTTTATCTAGGTTGTTTGAATCATTCTTGTATATTGTCAGGAATAAAGATTAATAGCAATAGGAAAAGCAAAGCTTTTGAATTGAATTCCAGATTGAAATTCCAAAATCACATGGGAGCATGATATAAGTTTTAATCCATTCCCATGTGAAAACGGATGATTATTTGAAAATCATAATTTGGAGAAACTCATAAGTGTAATTGACGGAGAGTGGATTCGGCTGTTAAGAATTGGCAAAAAAAAAAGTTCCCGATTGTCTAGCTTTACATGAAGAAATTATGTTGTTGATTTTACAAGATTTTTTCTTAAAGTTTTTAAAATGACAGTAATTTTTGCAGGACAATGTGTGCATTTATGTTCATTTGATATTTTACATGTGATTAAACAAAATAAAATTAGAATTGTATTAATAAATCTAATTTTTCTTTATTTTGATCTTTAAAGTCACACCTCATCCTATATGTGAGGTCGTCTTATATTTGAGTAAATACGGTATTTAACACTACTACACATCTGTTGTCACCATTTCACTTTAATTATTATTGCAGAAGTAATAATTTTAAAAAGTGAAACAGAAAAAAATGTAATTTTGGAGGTTTTACTTCAAATAAGTATCAAAAGTATAAATGATAACTAAAGTACAGATTTTGATAAAAAGCTATCTTTTTCTTCAGGAATCATATAGCAGATATTTGAAACAATGTTTTACTTGAACCAATTTTATATTAATGTCTAGCCATCAGCTGGATGGCTGAGTGAAAGAAGTGACAGCCTACCACTTGGAGGGACCTGAGATTGAATTCAGATTGTTCAAAACAACCAGGAATTTTTCTGTGGTGGTCCAAGGGAGCCCTCCCTTGGACCACCACAGAAAAATTCCTTACCATACAGCCACTCCATTTTGGACCTGGCCAAACCCATAATGGGATTGATTAAACAAGTCCTCTTAGTGCCTACAGAGCAGAAAGGGTTTTAAAAAAAATCAACTGTTACTCAGAATATAGGTCCAAAAGTTCTTGACTTGACCTACTTTGCACATGCACAGAAAAATGTGAGTGGCAGCATTGTGAAGTTCAACAGTTGAGATATTAGCACTCTCAGTTGCATTTTAATATTCTCATTCGCACATGTCAGATAATCTGGCTTAGCATAACCTGTATGCACTATGTCAAATTTTGAGTATTGTGCAGTGATAAAGTTCTTGACAAAGAAGGTCGAAAGCATCAAAAATTCATAAATGCCTTTATAATGTTTATGGCAATGCTCCTACTTCATTAGTAAAACAATAGGCATAACATTTTAAACTTGGAAAAAATTTCTCATCAATAATTCATGTAGTGTTTGTTCAGCCACAGCAATCACTGAAAAAAGTGTCACACTTATCAAGGATGAAGTGCTTTCCAATTGACACTGAAAAAAAAGAATTTTCTGCAAGATTGAACTTGTCAAAACAATGATTCTTCAAATTCTTCATGAACATTTGTTAATGAATAAGGTCAGTGCATGCTGAGTGTCCAAAATTCTTCAGAAACAACAGCAGGTCAACTGCACTCAACACTTTTTGGAGCTCTGCAGAGTTCTACAGTCCATTGTCATGGGGGATGAGACCATGGTTCTATATTATGATCTTTTGTCCAAGAAAGAATTGATGGAAGGGTGCTGTGAATGGAAATCTCTTTTAAAGAAGCCAAAAGGGCTTCTTTAAAACAAAAAAGGTTACAGCAATGATTTTCTGGGTTCACAATGGCATTTTATTGATAGACTTTGAGGAGAGAAATTCTACAGTGAATGTTGAATGCCAACCTGACCATAAGACTCCACGATGCCAAAAAAGAAAAAAAGAAGGGTAAACTTTCAAAAGAGATGTGCCTCTCATGACAATGCACCTGTTCACACTGTATTTCACATAAAGGCTGCCATTAAAGAATGTGGCTTCACTGAATTTCCTCATCCACTGCACATTCCTGACCTAGCCCCAAATGACTTATTTGTTCTCAAAATTAAATTTTCATCTGCAAAGATCAGATTTCAACAATGATGAAGTCAAAGCAGCTGTTTTTGAACATTTTGAGAGCAAAGACAAAATGTAATTTTCTGATGGTATAAATTTGTTAATTTCACATTATGAAAAATGTATTGTGATAAAAGGAAGCTATATTGAAAATAATATACATCTTTTATTTATTTGACACTTCTTTCTTAGTAAGGTTCAGAAATTCTTGGCCTGAATGGTAGCAATGATCTTTCTATAAAAGACTTAGGCTAATGCAATTAAGGTCTCAACCAATTGGCTGATGCCTTAGTCATCTCAGTCATCAGTCTTCTTCATACTACTCTGAGAAACCTGTGATCAAATTCAAATTGAGTTATCCAAAAAATGGAAGGTCCATCTTGAATACATCAGGCCCTGTCTCCAACATTTTTTAGACATCACCATTGTGGGGCCTGGCCAAACCCATATGTGTGGAAAGACCCCTTAGTGGCCACAGAACAGAAGTGTCAACAAAAAAAAATGTTGAGCCGAGTAAGTAAATTCCATGTATTGTTTTGTATTAAAGATGTCTTGCTAACTGTTTTTATTGTACATTTAATTTACTGTACATGTTGAGAAAAAATTTTTTCAGAGTATTTACAAATGAAAATGCACCAATTTTTATAAATCATTTAATTCTATATAAACATATGTTAAAATATACATTTTATACTACAAGATGCCATGTTTTAAAAATACTTTCATATGCAAGTGCTCATTTACAATGGTTTATGCTCACTGAGTATGTGTTAATAAAATTAATTGAACATTGTGTTTGAGACTAGAATAAGTGCTGAGTCATATAATGTCATCAATCTTTCAATATTATAGCATAAAAAATGCCATCTCATTTTATGAAAACATACTAAATGGCAAACAAATTGACTCGGATGATTACAAGTTAATGAAGAGATTCCTCAACAAATCAACTCAAGTATTGTCTTGAATGGGTTAAAAGTGAAAAAATTGATTAATCCTCTGTCAAAAATTTAATACAGTAGAAAATTTGTATTTTTATGGTTTATGATATTGCAATCACTACATTAATTGCATTTTTGCATAATTATAGCTTATTCCATTCAATGTTAGATTCATCAATAACAACATTACAGATAAATAATGTCACTACTCAAATCTTAATCTTTCTTTGTTGATAAGAAAATCCTAAAAGTTTAAGCAAAAGAACTATAAAGTATTCTCTGGTAACTTTGGCTGATGCAGTTTTTTCTAGATTCAATCTATTCCAGTTAATTAACTGATGCTCTGTGAAGTTATCATTATTTTTGAAATTTGCTAGCTACCATATTTATTAATAGAAAATAAAAAAATATTTTAACTAAATTTAAACATTTAGTTCTGAATACATGCAATAAATATTTGTCATATATTTCTATTCAAAGTACTCAAAAATCAATATTATATAATAATAAATAATTATATGAAAAATACAAATAATATTTGATATATGAACTATTAGGAATTTTAAAAAATAAAGTTTTTAATTTAAAAAATAATTATATAAATTTTGACTAAAAATATATACTTTTTTATAATTTAATTCACAAAACAAGTAATTTACATGTAATTTACCTTTGCATGTTGTATCTTTTCCATCCCATTTACCATTACTTTGACATTGCCTATTAACAGAACCATGCAATACATAGCCTTCGTCACATTTCATTTGACAGACCGTTCCAAATCCAAAATCTGATTGAGAACAATTATGACTACCATCTTTTGGAAAATTTAAAGCTGAACATTTAATTTCTGTAAAAATTTTAGTATTTAATAAATTAAAAAAATAAATTATATAATTAATAACATTAAGCAATATATTTATTTTAAAATTTAATGCCACACTGTAACTAGATATAGTAATATCTTCCATCAAGGCTCTCTATGCCTTGATGAAAATCCAGGATATAGTGTGCAATAACCACAACTGACCAATCAGAGTGAAACATCTACTAATATATTTAATATTTAAATGTTTCCAATACATGTGATGTTCAAAATTTTGAAAGAAAAAAAACCATTCTTTTTGAGAAGCTGTTCTAAGTTCAAAAAATGAAAATAATCTGATAAATGGTGGCTTAGACTAGTGGTGTGCAAACCATGAGTTGCAACCCCCAAGAGAGGTCACAAGAAAATTTTTCAGGATCACCAAATTCAAAGAAATTTATTTGACAATAAAAAAATATAAGGTGTTTCTTCAACAAGTATCAGGTACCAGTAAAATAGTGAAATGAAATTATAAATTTTTAAAAATAGCTCTATATTTTTTTTATGAAAACAATTGTCTTAGTACCTAATACAGATGGGATGACTTACAGCTTGTGATTCCCAATACACATCTGAACATAGAAACAATCATGAGCTCTTTGTAAGTGCATATCTCACATTGAATTCTTATGATGTAAAGTTTTTTTAAAAGTAGTTTTTATTAAATAAATATTTATACCCATATGCATAAATAAAACCATTGTTTCATAAAATGATGTGTTTATTCAGACCTGTAATAAGGCAGAAACATAAGTGCAAATCCCAGAAAGAATTTCACTTTAACTATGTTAACAATTAAAAAAATGTCTTTCTAGGGGTCAGGACAAAATTTTACACAAAAGGGGGGGTTCGGAAATGAAAATAGTTTGTGCACCACTGGCTTAGGCCACCAAAAATATTTGTTCTATATATAAACCAACAGATATTTGCTAGAGTTTGAATATGTTATATATATATTTATATTTATTTATTTTAATTATTATTAAAAATAAATAAAGTCATATGTTTGTAATATTAACTATAAAGTGAAAAAACATAACACAAAACCCTTGTTAATTAAACATTCAAACAGTTTATTTTCAACCTTGAGAAGCAATCTTACTCTCAAAACCCTGGATACATTACTGGACACTCCACTAAACATATACTGGTATATGTTTAGTATAGATATATATGTTACTGTGAAAGACCAATATCTAGCAAATGTCGAGATTCTCTGGTGAATGTCAGCATTCACACAGTTGTTTTGTGTATATACGAAATATTTGCTAAATATCATTATTTCTCACTTACACCAGCAAATGTCGACATTCAGCATGCACTGATGGTGAATGTTGAATAAAAATATTTTTATTACGTTAAGACAAAAATGCAACTTTTTAATATGTCAAAATAGGAGAAAGCTTAAGTAACAGCACATGTAAATAAACTGTTGAACCTAAAACAAACAGTACATTCTAAATCATTAAAGAAAATAATACAATAATAAACTTACACATAAATTATGTGNTTACGTTAAGACAAAAATGCAACTTTTTAATATGTCAAAATAGGAGAAAGCTTAAGTAACAGCACATGTAAATAAACTGTTGAACCTAAAACAAACAGTACATTCTAAATCATTAAAGAAAATAATACAATAATAAACTTACACATAAATTATGTTATTAACTTTATACAATCATATTTATTGCAACAACTTAAACTGTTATGGCACTTTGAATTGCATGAGAGTCCCTTGCTTTTACAACTGCATTTATTCGTGGAACACTTTTTTTTGCAATGACAGAATGTATAGCCTTGCCCTCCACTTTTCGAATTAGCTGCAGCTGCTTATCTCAGTAATATTTCTTGAGAAGAAATTACGAACTGATTACGGGTATAAAGCTGCTTGAGAGTACCATTTTTGTTTGCTAATTTATAAAAGTTGGTGTCTTCTATTCCAACATCAACTGCCAACACATTTCGGGCATCTGTATGGCCACGGTCAACATCAGAGACTTGTATTTGTATGGTATCATCAATTTGAGCAGAAAGAAATGGCAAAGAATTTGGCAACAGACTATCACCTCTCTGTGGACATTGGCTTCTCAGGTATTGTTTCAACCTCTACAAAAGCTTATCTGTGCTTGTCAACATACACTAGCGATTGTTCGAATGTATAATAATATAACCAAATATTCGGTCTTTCATCGACATATTTTGTATGTGTCGACATTCACTGGAGAATATTGACATTCTCTAATTTCGGTCTTTCACAATAACATATATACTATTACATGTAGTCATTATGTAATACAGTGGAACCCCGGTTAACGAACGTCCTCGTTAACGACCAAATCAGTTAATGAACTATTATTTTGCAAAAATTTTGTCTCAGATAACAAACTTAATGGCTTTTTGTGACAAATTTGTAAGCTTGCCGACTTTTACGGAAAAATCAGTTAATCGTGTGTCGGTGATGGCCTAGGGTCCATTCGTACATTGGTGATGGCGGAGGAGACAAAGATGACAAGTATTTTACAGTGAAAATCGTTTATTAGAACGGGAAGATGCTTATTTTATATATTACATATTTGAGGTAGTTGGAAATGGCTTATCTACAATATTTTCTCTCGGTACTGAGGAGTGGCGTATCGCTGGTCCTATGATAGTGCAATCTGATCAGTCGTAGCCCCAGAGCGGATGAGATGGGTTTGCTTGGTTACAGAAGCAATGGTAGGTGACAGAGCCTCAACGACTGGAGTGGTCCATGAGACACAACACAATTTTAGCGGGAACGACTTCAGGTTTAATCCAGACGAAGATGACACAGATTAATCGCCATAGAATTTTTAGGAAAACTGCGTTTTGACCTTGATATTCGGGGTTTTTATAGTATTTCTTCCTTGAATCTCACCTTACAATTTGTCCTGCATCCCATTCCTCGCTTCCCAATTGTTTTCTTTTTTGTCTCCAGGTGTAAACCGAAACCAGATCAGGTCACGAGAAAGGTTTGTTCCGAGGCGTTTATTTGACACCTGTTCATCAACTCTGATCGGAGATTGTTGATAAACCTATAAGCCTTTCGCTCATAATTTAGCCTATTATTTCTGCTATCTGTCATTTTAGAACTTTAACGATCGTGTATGATGTTTTTTATACCCGTCAAATCTTTCCTTTTTTCCGAAAATTTAACCTAGATCAACTGTTTATAAGCACGTTTTCCTATATTTTCATTAAAGAAAACCCGTTTTACAAATAAAATTACAAAAATACTGATGGCTATAACGAATTAATTGTATTTGCATTAATTTCTATGGAAAAAAGTGCTTCAGTTAATGAATGGACTCGTGGAATGGATTACGTTCGTTAACTGGGGTTCCACTGTATTATATTATACTACTATTATATTATAAATTAATATATGGACATATGTAATTGTGTTGTTTGTAGCCAGATGGATTCCCAAAAATAAACATAGAAATGCATCTTAAAATTAGAAAATGGCTTAATTCTGTTTTTCTTATTTTTCCAACTTTTCAAACATGAGAAAATAATAATATAAATGTCTAAGTTTTTTCAATTTTTGTTATTTTCCACTCTGTGGGCATTAAGAGGGCCTTTTAGTTAGATCCACTATGGATGGCTGAGTGCTGAAGGTTGGGTCTTGTATATACAGACCACCCATAAAAATTCTTGGGCTGGCTCATCCAGATTTGATTTCAGGTCCACAAGAGCAATAGGCTGATATCTTAATCTCCTTAGCCATTCATTAATCATAGTGTCATTCAATACTAATGCATTTGTAAAGATAAAGTCTACTAAACTGCACATTATCAGATATTAAAATTTCATTAATTAAAAAATTATTTTATTCTATTTCACTAGTTTTCTGCTCAGTTATTGTCTTAACTTTCATATTTTTAACATAAAATAAAGAAATGTCTGATAACTTAATTTTTTAAAATCATTCTGTGTTCTTTTCATAAATCAGTAAATAACTTAATTATACTTTTGTTTATTTTATTTCATTTGAAATCATTAGTTGATAGGTTAAACATGCATTGTAAAGAACTATTCACCACACCAAATTAATAATAATGGTACACTTGGAACCAAATTATGGTGTGATACAAAAAACATTGAAAAAAATGAATGTTTTCGAGCCCCTTCTGGGCTATGTATCAGGTTCTTAACCTTTCCTAGATATATATATATATATATATATATGTGATAGAGATGTGATATATATAGGCTCTATTAAACGTTCCATGGGTATCAGAATACAAGAACATCAGGTGGATATTTGTCATGTGAGATCATTCAATCACTACTTATGTAATGGATCCTGACATAGTAGCCGACTTTTCCCAGGCCAATCTCCTTTCTGTGCCTCCCACTGAATATCTCAAATGGTTAGAGGCTATGCACATTTTTAAATCCAGCTTCACAGCTACATGCGTAAATTTTAAAGAGATGGTTTTGTTGTTGGCCTGGCAGGAGCAGATTCACAATTCGCTCTAGCCACTTGTGTCCAAGCAGGCCAACATGCATGACATGGTTTTTTTGTAAATTTTCTCAAACTTATAATCAAACTCTTATTTAAATGTCATTCCATAATCAAATATCCATCTAGGAACAGTTAAGAATCTGATGCAGAGCCCAGAAGGGGTTTGAAAATGTTCATTTTTTTTCAATGTTTTTTGTATTACACCATAATTTGGTTCCAAGTGCGTCATTATAAACATGTATAGTAATACCTCGACTTACGCTACCCTGACTTATGTGAACCCAGAGTTACGCGATTTTCAAATCTCGTCGATTCGTCTTTTGTTTGAGCGCCACGCAACTCTCGATTACTCACTCCCCACACACTATTGTTCGGCTTACATGTTTGGATGTATCACGCAGAATCGACATCTAGCTACAATTTATTTTGTGTTATTTATTTCTGTGTTTGTTATATCTACGGAGACTTGAGAAACTCTTCGTGGTGATTTCTTGTAACTGTGAATGAATCAAAAGAACAGATAAGATTAACAAGAACATTTATTAGCTTACATACATCCGACTTGGATTTTACACAAATTGCAAAATTATACCCCGACTTACGCTAATTCGACTTATGCAGTTATTGCTCAGTCCCACCTATCATGTAAGTTTGGGGTATTACTGTATTGTATTGCATTTTTATGTTTTTTGGAGAACATGAGTAGGATGACTGGTTATGCCAGAATTATTGAGGATATCAGTATGTCAATCAGATATTAGTATTTCTAAGGGGAAAAAAATTAATAATAATGAGTAATTATTTATTATGATATTTTCACAATGCTGGGCTGCAATTTTTAATCATATTTTTTAAATTTATTTAATTTAAAATACAGTGGATTCCGCTTAATTGGGCCACCGGTTAATTGGGGCAGCAGCTTTAGTGGGCCAAATCTCAAAGAATGAAAACCAAACTAATAAATTAATACATAATTTAATCATTTAATTGAGACAACTTTTTGCTTAATTGGGACATTAGCAGAAAAGGAATTAAGCAATTTTTGATATATTTTAGTAATCTTCTGAAAATATGTTGGCACTACGTACACTAATGTTGTGTAGGCCTAACAGTTGGCAGAGACAAGACAATTTTGTCTTTTGCTCAGACAGTTCAGTTTTTCCAGAGGGGATCAGCATAGTGGGACATATCACACAGGGATTTCATCTGAAGTGGACCTAAATGCGAATTACTGACTGTGCTGTGGATTGGACTGGACAATCCCCTTAAAAGTAAAGGACAAAGCTCTCCGGACATTATCTCAAACTTATAATCAAACTCTTATTTAAATAACATTTTTTGAGGTCTCTCAATTGAGTTGGAAGATATCTAGAGTTCCCTTGAAAGGTATTGTGTGCATAATTACATCTAAATTCAGACAGCAACTATCCGATTGTTGAGACCAGCATCAAGCTGGCGAATTCTATGGACACTCCTGCCGAAGTAACCCATTTCCAAGTAAAGGAAACTGTGCTCAAAAGAAGACCGTAAAATGACTTTTGGACAAACCCTTTTCTTTCTCCCTTTTTAGTTAGAACATGTTCTAACTAAAAAAAAAGAAAGGAAAAAATTGTTTGATCAGAAACAGACTGAACAGTTGACCCTTGTGTATGTCAATACTAATATTTGACAACACTAGCATTACGCAAATCAGTTATCTATTGTCATGAGTCTGGCAAATTTATAGTACAAATATTTTCTGTATTTTGGTTTAATAAAGCATTAAAATAGGTACCTAATTATTATTTTTTACCTACTTATTTATTTACCTATGTATTACATATTTTATTATAGAATTTTCTATAGCACTTTTAAGTTTTCTAATGCAAAACACCTAACATGTATTTATTTATATCCATAAACTTCACAGCTATATCATCAGTCATCATGCCAACATCAATCTATTTCATCACTGACCCCTGTATTAAAATATTAAATTATATTTAAATTTTATTTTTTAAAGTGCACTAATATATGCACACATGCATACATTGCACACCTACTAGAACCAGCCCTGTTTGTAATTATTAAAATAATAATATAATTTTATCATGTTTCCCATAAGTATATGAAATTTTTTAATAGGCTATGATTTTAAACATGTTATAAATAAAAATAATAACTATAGTTATTATTTTTATTTATAACATATAGTGTGATTTTTCTCTACACACTACATCAAGGTTCATTATTCACATATATAAATTTTTATAAATGAAAAATGGCAAGTTTGAATGGATTAGTAAAATTCACTATATCAGATGATCGCTGTATCTTGAGAGTTCACAACTTACTTGTATGTATTTTTAACTAAATTATTACATATTATGTACATATTTTTTGTTACATGAATTTAAGGAATTATGCCTATACGTATTTTTGATTCTCCATTTTAACTAAATTTTTTATTAACTGAGCAACTGTGGCCTTCACTGTGAAACTGTGGCATTAGTTCAGAATGTTTTTAATATATAAAATATATATTAAAAAATTTACTTACTTTCACAATAAAATTCTACTCCAGACCAATTCTTTGTTTCCAAACATTTTCTAGGTTCTTCTGGTTCAATATCCCAAGGACGTTCATTATTTTCTAAACTAATATTTCTTTCACATGAATATGGACAATATCCTTCTTTACATTTAAATGTACACGAACTGTTAAATGTATTTCCACATTTATTTGGAGGTATTAAAGATCCACCTTCAGGAACTGNTCTGTGAAGCTATCATTATTTTTGAAATTTGCTAGCTACCATATTTATTAATAGAAAATAAAAAAATATTTTAACTAAATTTAAACATTTAGTTCTGAATACATGCAATAAATATTTGTCATATATTTCTATTCAAAGTACTCAAAAATCAATATTATATGATAAATAAACTTTTAATTACGTTTACAAGCAGATTCATTTTCTGGATTTCCTTCATGTCCAAGAAGACAGAAACAGTCTTTGATACTTTTGCTCCCTTCTTTACTTGTTGTTGAATTAATAGGACATGCAATACAATCTCTTTTACTTGGCTTATCGGAGTAAGAACCTTTAGGACATGCTAAAAATAAATAATAATAATAATAAAATTATTCACAGCATGTGAACTTCAAAGGAAATAACTGTTGGAAAATTAATTATTTTGTTTTTTATACTACACTGTAGACCTGATATAGCATGAAAAATTTAGTCTAAAATTTCCTTTGCATTATGAGCCAACATTATGCTGTATTAAAGTTATATATTTTTGTAGTATAACTAGATATGAAAGATAGATCTTATACTAAGCAGAGACTTATTATGGTGTTGATGGTGTATTGTATATAGCATATATACCAGTGTCTTGTGCTACATGCTAGATTGAAGATATAACTAAAAAAACAAATGTGCTATTTGTGTACATATTTGTGTTTTAAGAATTTCCTGACAATGTAATTTACAGAAGATTGCCATACTGATGTGTTTAGTATTGTGGCCTTTAATATTCTTGTCATGTACAGTCAACAACTATGCTGTCAACACAATCTGGAAACTGTAGTTTTGCCAAAATTATGTCCATTTGTCTAGGACAGTCCCAGATCTATCCTGCTGATAAAAAGCTGTCATTCAGCAATATTTTTTACTTTCGACACTTAATGCAATTCAGATGGTTCAATTTCAAATATTCTATTTGTTTGGTTTTACTTATTTTATCAATGAGCTATTAACATAAGTAAAATAAGTTATTCAACTTATTTTACTTATAGCTCATTAATAATATACAAATAAGGTAACATGATAAATTGAATACTCATATAGCTCATTACAATATACAAATAAGGTAACATGATAAATTGAAAACATTTCTTAAGTAAAGAATTTTCTCTCAGTGAACTTTAGGTGATATAAAAAGATTGTAATCTCTGAGTAAAACTGGTATGTAAATAAAACAGAACTGAATGCTTAATAAAAATTAAGACAATATCTTCAAAACTACACTGGTTAAATGTTCAGTCACTTTGCAGCTTATGTGAAAATTACCCTAGAAACGTCAACACCGACGACAACACTTTCTAAATAACATGCTAGTTAGATCGTTACTTCCGATCAGAAAAATAGAAAGCCACGTGGTCACTATAGAAAGATTTAAAAAAAAAATTGTTATAGAAGTGACACGGTGGGCTACCATTTTTAAAGTTTAAATTTTAAATTGAATGAAGTAAGTTTAAAATACGCCATTTGTCAAAATATTTAAAAATGCAACATAAGGGAAATTTCCTCGTCGAGCACGAACGTCGCGTGGTCATTGATGTCACTGCGACGTAAGTGCGATCACCCAAGGACTTTAAACAGTATACAGTCCTTGGCGATCACCGATCCGAAATCTATAAAACATTTATTATATAGCAGATATTTCCGTAAAATGAGTAGTCTATACTTTTCGTAAGAACATAAAGCGAATATAACCAAAATTTCATCTGGATTGGACGAAAATTACAGCCGTTATAAAATATTCATAGGCGACGGCTTTCATATTAGTAATTATATAAATGACGGCAGGATGGCCGAACGGTCAAGGTGGCAGCCTACCGCCGGGATCGAATTCGGACGGGTCAAAAAATCCCCAGGAATTTTTCGGGGACGGACCGACCAGATATATCGGGTCCCGTCCCTCACCTCCCGGCCGCCCCATTGTGAGCCTGGCCGAACCCATAATGGGCTTGCTAAAAAAAAGGGCCCTCTTTTAAAACTCTTTTCGCCCACAGGGCGAAAAGAGTTTTAAAAGAGTTTTAAGAGTTTTAAAAGAGTTTTAAAAGAGTCTACATTCATCAAAACTTTATTTTTCGAGAAGTTAAAAATGAATAAAAACTACTATTTACGAATATACCTATTAAAACTAGCTGTTACCCGCGACTTCGCCCGCGAAAATTTTGCAAGCAAATCCCATTTATATTCAGTATTTCAACAACCATAGTAATTGTTATATAACACCTACCGCTGAGAATGATCAGAATTGCCGAGAATCAAACGAACTATTTTCAATTTGATCAATTTTCTGGAACGTTTACAATCGTTTTATAATCAAACCAATATGCAATAACAAATTCGAATTTAAAACAGTTCGAACATTTTTAAAATCGAAATAGATAAAAATATTTATAACAATGTCTGAAATGTTATTAATTTAATACACCTAAGTACTCGATGAAGACTATATACTCTCTCTCTCCCCCGAGGGAGAATTTCGAAAAATCCCTTCTTAGCGTGCATTCCCATGGCATACCCTACTAAAACGCAGATAAAAACAAAAAATCGCATCTAAAATAGTACAGTATAAACCAGGGATGAGCAACACGTGGCCCGCGGGCCGCTTGCGGCCCGTTAAACATGTTTATGCGGCCCCCACCAAACATTTTTAAAATTGAATTTATTTTATCGACTTTCTCCCATCAATATATTGTTATAAAATTAATTATAATAAAATGGTAGTACATACTAAACCGAAACAATTTTTTGTTACTCACTTGTCAGCGATTTGTTAAACATGCAATACGAACGCGCCGCGTCTGTGCTCGTTTGTGTTTGCTTCTGTCACACAATCTGTAAGACTGGTAAGCTGTTAACTAGCAATTTTAGCAATTCTTGTGTTTCTTGAAAGGCGTGAGTGCAATATTATTGTCAAAAAGGTAATATTAGAGTTTTTTTTATTCAAAATTAAGTTTTCCTACAATTTTTTTAACTTTCAAATTTTTAATCCATAATAGCATGTCGGAAAAGCAAACAAAAAAACGGAAGGTTGCGGATGAGCACAGGCATTTCCAAGAAAAGTGGAAATTTGATTATTTTTTCACTTTCGTCGAAGATAAAGCTGTATGCTTAATATGCTCAGAGACTGTGTCGACATTAAA